AAAATGCCCCAGCACCGAGGTGGTAAAGTAGTTGATAGTCACTGGACATTGGTCCTCAATGGAATATCACTGGATATATAAACCATTCTCCATTCAGGTCAGGTCCCATCCCAGGAATACTTGGCTAACGCAAAACTAATTCCATGGTGGTTTTGTTCATTTTGCTTTGGCATTATTTTTGTCTTATTGATGTTTTACTTGTTTTGATTTTCACTTTTGTGGACTTCTGTTTGTTTCTTTCTTGCTTTTGGTTTTGTTTCTTTTTCTCTCCTCTTTTTGAGAGAAAGGGAGAGACCATAAAACAGGGTGGGGAGATCTGGAAGGAGTTTGGGGAGGGAAAATATAATCAATATGTATTGCTTGAAAAATATTTCTTTTTTTTTTTTTTTTTTTTTTGGTTTTTCGAGACAGGGTTTCTCTGTGGTTTTGGAGCCTGTCCTGGAACTAGCTCTTGTAGACCAGGCTGGTCTCGAACTCACAGAGATCCGCCTGCCTCTGCCTCCCGAGTGCTGGGATTAAAGGCGTGCGCCACCACCGCCCGGCCTTGAAAAATATTTCTAATAAAAAAAGAAAGTTGCTTTTGAGAGTCTGTATTTGACATCGACTATTCAGTAACTGTTCCATTTAATCAGACTTCAGTTGAGTTACCAAGTCTTGTAATAACCAACAAGAGGAGAATTCACTTGGTTCTGTGCTCTCAAAGGAGCCTGAGGTATTTCCACCTCTAGCAACCTCCCAGATGAAGGGCATAATGGAAGCAACAGCATTGTACTTGTTTACACTGGCATCAGACAACAAATATATCTAAAATGATGTGTACCTGGAAATTAACAGTGTGAAGAAGGTTTGTCATAGAGGGAAGACCAGGAAAAGCAAAATTTCGACAATTCTTTAGAGAGTTGAGTATCAGAAATTGTTGTATTTGAGCCCCCAGAGAGAAAATGGAGAGGGAGTATCTAAGACACATGAAAAGTTATTTTCCTAACCTGGGGTCTTGAGTTTGAAAGAGAGTGAGGTGATGGCTTCCTGGGTCTTGTGGAAATGAGGCATGTTGGAGGTAGGGCACAGGATACAGACAGAGAGGGGAAGCTGGGGTCCTGAGTGGTGGAGGGGATGTGGGACAGGTGAAAGTGCTGCTAACAGGGCATCAAAGACGGGCGTCATGGTTGAGGCAGAGTCATGATGGGATGGAGAGGGTCCATTCAGTTGAATTAGTAGCACATACTTGTCACAGCCTCTGAAGTCATCTAGATGATACAATGATATGAAGAATAAAGGACAGACCTACCCTAGAAAAATAGAAGATAAATAAAGAAAAGAACCCAACTATAAATCACATTTGCATACATTACCTTGATTTATTTTCGGCAACCTTGTGATATTTAATTTCATTTTGTAAATGAGGGAACTAAGACTTGAAGAGAGAGTTTCTCTAAGGTCATAAACTTGGTAATAAGACAAGGCCTTCAGTTTACACAAAGTTTTCATTTCAGCTCCCGCCTCTCCTTCCAGAGAAGCACAGCTGTGCTTTGCACTGAAGCTCCAATGGTAAGTGACTTGTAGACCTTACAGCTTGGCAGGAAGCAGATGGGGGTTTAAACTTGGCTTTGACACACCATGGGAAACTCTATTGATGGTAGAACCAGAGGTGCCACAGTCCGTGGAATGGGTGGGATTTTGGTAGGTGGAGATCAAGAAATCAGTTAAGTGAAGAGATTGTATAAACCAAGCTATACTGGAGAGCTGTCCAGTTAAGTTGGAGTCTAGGGACAGTGCAAAAACAGGGTTGGAGTGGACACTGAAGGCAGAACATCAGGCTCCGAAGGCATTCGATCAACATAGTAACTATTGGGTATGTTTCATGGCCAGTTACCATTTGAGATGTAGGAGGTACAATAACAACCAAGATAAAAATCTTTGTCCTCATGGGTCTTTCTTCCAGTTGAATAGATAAACAATAAATTAACATTATTAAAAAAATAAAAAAAATGTGCTAAGAAGAAAAATGATGAGAAAGAAGTTAAGTGACAGAGACTGGAGGGAGACTCTCTTAGATTAAAGCCAGAGAAAGTTTCTCCAGGAGAGTGAGGCGAGGCAAGGTCCGAATGAAATGAGAACTCAGACATACACCTAGTAAGGGAAAGACTGTTCTGAACTAGGGAAATATCTGGGACGAAAGTTTCCGAGTGAGAGCCAATGTGTCTGCTAGAATCACAGGAGGAAAAGGCCGGGGTGATTAGAAAACGGTAAGTTCAGAGAGAAGTGGTAATAGATGGGGTCCTGAAAGGTCATCCTGCAGGAAGGGCTGGGGAGGACACTTGATTTTCTTCTCAGAATAGTGGGAAAATCCTGAGAACTTCCAGTAGGGAATCACGTGACACAGTCTGCATTATGAAAGGAACAGGGAGCCTACGCATTAGGAAACTGTTTTGGAGGCGGAGGACGATACCACTTGAGTGCTGGGAGTGGGGCTGAAAAGAGTGAGGAGAGATTTGGGCTTCTTGTGTTTGGTGATAGAGGAAAGGGCTTCTTGATGCTTTGACTGAGGAAGAGGAAGAATTCTAGTGAACTGTTCCCCCTAGGCGGTTGATTGGAGCAGGGAACGCCTCCCTGAACTCGGAGCCACCAAATGGCTCCAGTGCCTTTCATCCTGTTTCTCTCTCGCTGATTTAGAGAGCTGTCTGCGAGGAAAGCTCCTCTTACTATTTAAAAACCGTGCTATTTAGAAGCAGAAGAGCATGCCTGTGTCTGAGGCTCAAATCCCAGGCCTTGCTAGCAGATTGTTATATAAGGCCCAGTGTCATAAGCACAAGAAAACCACCCTTGTAACAAGGAGGTGAGTGAGACAGTTTTCCTATAGGGAAAGTGTCTAAGCTATGGATTATATTCTCCGTGTGCTATGGTGAGGGCTGTTGCTGTAAATTATATTCTCCGTGTGCTAAGGCGAGGGCTGTTGCTGTAGATTATATTCTTCATGTGCTAAGGCGAGGGCTGTTGCTGTAGATTATATTCCCCGTGTCCTATGGCCAATGGCCTTCAGCATCCCCTCCCAGCTCCTCCTATACTTATTCCACCTCCTTACAGTAAGAGTGCGGGATGTGCATTAGAATCTTTCCAAGCAGGAGTGTTGGAGTCAGGGAGGATGTAGAGCTGGCAGGACTTAATGGCCATCTCGATGTGGCAGCCAGTGAGTGGTAAGAGCAAAAAGTAACGGATGGTGGAGAAGAGAGATGAAAATTATGTGTAGATGAGAACTTACGTTCATTTTGGCTATTTAGTATTTGTTTCTGGTCTACAAGAGCTAGTTCCAGGACAGGCTCCAAAACCACAGAGAAACCCTGTCTCGAAAAACAAAAAAACAAAAAAAAAAAAATAGTATTTGTTTCTAATGATTTCTGTTGTAAGCGCTCAGAAACTCAGAGAACAAACAGAGTTGTTTTTTGTTTTTTTTTTGTTTTGTTTTGTTTTGTTTTTGAGACAGTGTCCCATTCTGTTTTCCATACTGGTCTGAAAAGTATTATGTAGGTCAGACTGGTCTAGGATTCACTGAGATCTTTCTGTCTTGGCCCTCTGAGAGCTGTGAATACAAGGACAAAACGCCATGCTCAGCTTCATAAAGATATTTTAGAAGACAAGAAATGAGGTCTTCAAAAAATTAATTTTGCTTTATTTGTCTGAGTATTTTGCCTGCACATATGATATGTATTGCATATGGGCTTGTTTCTCTTTGGGTTAGAAAAGAGTTTCAGATCCTTTGGAACTGGAGTTATGGATGGTTATATGTAAATGGATGTTTCTATCCTACCTGCCAATTCTCAAATTCAGAGGCTTATATTAATTACAAATGTTTGGCCAATAGCTCAGGCTTATTACTAACTAGATCTTACATTTAAATAAACCCATTTCTATTAATCTATGTTTTGCCATGTAGCTTGTGACTTTACCTGTCTTCTAGCACATCTTGTTTTCCCGTGACTGACTGACATCTCCACTTTTTCCTCCCTTCTTCCTCCCAGCATCCTCTTAGTCTGGTTTTCCCAACTAACTTTATGCTTTTCAGCTATTAGTCAGTCAACTTGTTTATTAAACCTATCACAGTGATAAATCTTCACAGTGTACAAAGGGAATATTCCACAGCAGTTATGAGCCAACACATGAGTGTAGGAACCAAACCCCAGAAGCCTCTACAAGAATAGCAAGTGCTTTTAGCTGCTGGACTATCTTTCCAATCCTAAGAAATGAAGATTTATTCTTAGAAAATGCTCATAAGTGAAGGTCATATTTCCATATTAAAGAAGAAAAAAGCCATCAACATCATTGCTCACCAAACATTTATTGTTTTGATATAATTTCATGATCTACACATGATCTTTGTTGATAAAGTTTCCAGAATTGATAACTTGGGCTACCAGGAACTTCAAACAGATGAGATATATTTTCTCTATATGTAATGGATTAGTAGGGGTCAGTTCAGCTCTCATGACCCAGCAACAGAAGAACAGGAGCCTAGGCATCAGAGATGTTGGTCTCAGTGATCTCTCTCTCTCCTCGAGGCTTCCCAGTGCTCTTCATCAAAGTCTAGACCATAATTCTTGGAGTTCCTGATATTTTTCTCACAGCAGCCAAAGCTCACCAAAGTCCAGAATCTTTTTCTTCAAACGTAATAGAAATCTTAAGTGTACCTTTTCCCATTTTTAAATTTTAGGAAGAATGTTCTACCATTCAGTGATTCAATCAAGTATCACCTAAACTAAAAACAAACTAGAAATGATGTAAACCCACAAAGTGATCAAAATGAAGATTGATTAGTTCCCCTAATTTACTTCACCCAACAAATAACCCTAGAATTGCTACTCAAGGAACTGATTTCAAAAAGTGTAGTACTATACTAATCTTCAAAAGGATTCTAATAGGCAGATGAAAAAGAGAAAGATGACATACAACTTCAGGTTTTCAAACAGACACAAAGATGAACTGACACATAGCTTTTTTCATTAGCTTCAAACTGCTTCACCTCTGGCACTCATTGCTTGCTCTCGTACATAGTCGTAGAGGGGGCTGGGAGAATTAGCTGTTTTGGTAGGGTAGTTTCCATATTGTTCTCTTATTTGGGACCTGCCACTACCATGGGTTGGAAAGAAATGTCTTCCCTGGGATCCTTGGCCCTGGTCGTCTTCATTCTTGTGAATTTTTTCTTTGTTGGGTAACTTTCTGGATTGGTCTTGGGATCCTTGATACCTTTTATTTTTTTCATGAGTTTGTCTATCCCATTGTTGATGATGCTTTTGATGTTTGTCTTTTCCTTGATGGTTTTGCTTATCTTCATGATTGCCTACCTTGTTGATGATCTTGATTTTCTACATGAGTTGTCCTGTATTGTCTTTTCTGGTTCTGCTCATCTACAGAGGTCTGCCTATCCTGTTTCTGATGCGTTGTTCATCTCTATGGGCTTGTCTGTTCTACATCTCATATAGACCTTCCTGCTCCTCAAAACTGTGTCCATCCCAATTTTGATGCTCTTCCTCTTCCCAGTGGCCCTCCTCGCTACTCTGTGATTGCCAGTCATACTCTTCGTGGGGGTATGGCTTTTCTTGCTGTATCGGAGCTAAGAGTTTGTGCTTATTACCCTCTTCAAGCGTCCATGCCTGGTGGTGGCTTTGCTGCTCCCTTTTATCCTGGAATCTCTGTCTCTGGGTTTGATTTACTTCTCTTGAAGTCTGTTGACTTAGTTTTCCTGATCTTCCAGATTGTTCAACATATGAGTCTCTTCTTGCTTTATCAGTTCCTTGGAAGGACCTGTTTTGCCCCTGGAGTTCAGTTTTCCCAATCTTTGGCTGATCACAGTGAGAACTCTGGCTTTTACTGCTTGTCTGACCCTGGTGAGAACTCTGGCCTTGTCTGCCTGTCTGATCATACTGAAAACCCTGGCCTTGACTGTCTGTCTGATGCCAACGTGAACTCTCTTGACTGTCTATCTGACCCTGGTGAGAACTCTGGCCTTGTCTGCCTGACTGATCATACTGGAAACCCTGGCCTTGACTATCTGTCCGATGCCAACGTGAATTCTGGTCTTGTCTGTCTGTCTGACCCTGGTGAGAACTCTGACCTTGTCTGCCTGTCTGATCATACTGAAAACCCTGGCCTTGACTGTCTGTCCGATGCCAACGTGAACTCTGGTCTTGTCTGTCTGTCTGACCCTGGTGAGAACTCTGGCTTTGTCTGCCTGTCTGATCATACTGAAAACCCTGGCCTTGACTATCTGTCCGATGCCAACGTGAATTCTGGTCTTGTCTGTCTGTCTGACCCTGGTGAGAACTCTGGCCTTGTCTGCCTGTCTGATCATACTGAAAACCCTGGCCTTGACTGTCTGTCCGATGCCAATGTGAACTCTCTTGACTGTCTATCTGACCCTGATGAGAACTCTGGCCTTGTCTGCCTGTCTGATCATACTGGAAACCCTGGCCTTGACTGTCTGTCCGATGCCAATGTGAACTCTGGTCTTGTCTGTCTGTCTGACCCTGGTGAGAACTCTGACCTTGTCTGCCTGTCTGATCATACTGAAAACCCTGGCCTTGACTATCTGTCCGATGCCAACGTGAACTCTGGTCTTGTCTGTCTGTCTGACCCTGGTGAGAACTCTGGCCTTGTCTGTCTATCTGACCTTGGTGAGAACTCTGACCTTGTCTGCCTGTCTGATCATACTGAAAACTCTGGCCTTGACTGTCTGTCCGATGCCAATGTGAACTCTCTTGTCTGTCTGTCTGACCCTGGTGAGAACTCTGACCTTGTCTGCCTGTCTGATCATACTGAAAACCCTGGCCTTGACTGTCTGTTCGATGCCAACCCTGGTCTTGTCTGCCTGTCTGACCCTGGTGAGAACTCTGGTTTTGTCTGTCTGTCTGACCCTGGTGAGAACTCTGGCCTTTAATGCCTGTCTGACCCTGGTGAGAACTCTGACCTTTAATGCCTGTCTGACCCTGGTGAGAACTCTGGCTTTTGATGCCTGTCTGTCCCTGGTGAGAACTCTGGCTTTTGATGCCTGTCTGACCCTGGTGAGAACTCTGGCTTTTGATGCCTGTCTGACCCTGGTGAGAACTCTGGCTTTTGATGCCTGTCTGACCCTGGTGAGAACTCTGTCCTTTAATGCCTGTCTGACCATAATGAAAATTCTGACCTTTGCTCTGACCTTGTCCATCTGTCTGACCATGTTGGAACGTATGTTTTTGTTTGTCTGACTGACCATAGCGAGAATTCTGGACCTGTCTGTCTGTCTGACTGTTGCCTGATTTCTGATACTGCTTTCCATATTGTTCATAAGAACCAGCTTCTTGTTGACTGGTTTGACTAGAGTAAGAATCTTGTCGGAGTCTTCCAGACTGGCCATGGCTGCTTTTTCGTCCAAATGTTTTAGATTGGCCATAATGAGAAACCTGAGCTGGGATCTCAGGCTGATTTAAGGCAAAGATATATCCTTGACTTTTGGGTCGGTCGTTGCTAGATTTATGACTCAGTCTTTGATCAGGGCTAGAGTGCTGATCGTCTGTCTCAGACTGATCAGAGCTATAATCTGTGTCTTGTCTCTCTGCCTGACCCTGGTGCGAGTCCTTATGTTCTTGGACGTCCTGACTTTGTCCTTCAGACTGCCTAGGCTGTCTGCCTGTGTTTTCAGAAAACTTATGGCTCTGTGTTCCTTTCTGACCCCGTTCTTTCTGGGAGGAGGTTTTACCTCCACATGACTTACTATCTAGTTTACGATGGCAAGCTTGGACCAATTGGAACACCAACAAGAGGTATTCACGAAAATCAACATATCCATTTCTGTCTCTGTCCAAGTGTTCCAGAATGGTTTCCACAGTCTCTGGGTCATTTGGTCTCTGTAAGAAAAACAGGGGAAAACCCCCAAATATCCTTTTATGAATGTTGGATTATACATCAGACTTAATGTCCCAATCCACTCCCAAACAGGTTTTCCCTTTCTTTCTTTCTTTCTTTCTTTCTTTCTTTCTTTCTTTCTCTCTCTCTCTCTCCCTCCCTCTTTCTTTCTTTCTTTCTTTCTTTCTTTCTTTCTTTTTCTCCCTCCCCCTTCTACTTCCCTCCCTCCCTCCCTCCCTCTTTCTTTCTTTCCTTCCTTCCTTCCTTCCTTCCTTCCTTCTTTCTGAGAAACTATTATTGTTAAGTGGCTTGTTCTGGTTCTAATCTTTGATTAGTTTATTTTCTGAACCTCATCCCTTAATGAACCAATGGGGGTTATGACCACAGGGAACAGACAACCATATTAACAGCAAATTTGAATCATTTGAATTTGAATCATTCGAGAAAGTTATTATCTTTTCTTTTTCTTTTTTGTTTTTCAAGACAGAGTTTCTCAGTAGCTTTGGAGCCTGTCATGGAACTAGCTTTTGTAGACCAGGCTGGTCTTAAACTCACAGAGATCTGCCTGCCTCTGTGTCCTGAGTGCTGGGATTAAAGTTGTGCACCACCATCATCCGGCTAAATTATTATCTTTTTACATAGTACAGCATACCTGTTTATAAACCTCTTTCTCTCTACACTGTGACACTCTCAATGGAAAAGAAGTTAGTTTTCTTTGTGTTTGTATTCTCAGAGTCTGGGATTGTACCAGCATGGAGTAGGTACTCAATGAATCTTTAATGAATTATTGCACAAATGTATAAGATAGTGTGTATACAGAATTACATATAGAAAACATGAATGGCATTTTTTTTTAAAAAGTTATTCTCCATTACTTTGAAGTTGTTCTGTGTTTTGTTTACATAAAAAGAAGGAGGTGTGTGTGTGTGTGTAAGAACTACTGAGAAGCTGTAGAACTGGAAGGTGCTTACCAGTACATTACTGGTGGGAAATGACTAAATAAAACAAAATATTGATAAGATATCCTAGATGCTGACATAAGAGTCATGCATCCCACTCCACAGGATCAAGAGTCTGTGTATCTTACCCGAAGGATGTCTCCAAACTCAGTGAGAAGCAGCTGCTTCAACTCCATCTTGTTCAATGAAGCGTATTCCCCGTGGTGTTCAGCATATTTCTGGAATACCTTACTCACATTGAGTATGCTGCTGAGAAGTTCAGGCATTCTGGCAAACACAGGTAAATCTAAGAAGAAAAAGAAGAAGGAGAAGAAGAAGGAGAGGAGAAGAAGAAGAAGAAGAAGAAGAAGAAGAAGAAGAAGAAGAGGAGGAGGAGGAGGAGGAGGAGGAGGAAGAGGAAGAAGAAGAAGAGAAGAAGAAAGAAAGATTTTTTTTATTCTTGGGATGAAGACAAGGAGTCAACATTTCTGTAGTGAGCCAGACAGGATCGCCATTACAAGATGGCGCCGACATCCTGTCTTGTTGGAAATAAACAACTCCATATTTGGCTCTGCCTTTGGGAGCTGCGTGTCCCCTGCTTCCCGCATGCATGCGCAGTGGATAAGGGTCCTTGGGCCTATCCTGATGCAGTCTGGTGTCAGCTGATGGTGGCAGCCAATTACAGGGCGACCCGTGTGCCAATTCCCCATATAAGCAGCTGCTTTAGTGTTCTTGGGCCTCTCTCTCGTTTCCTGCCCCTCGCTTCCTGCCCCTCATTTCCTGCCCCTTCGCTTCCTGCTCCCCTCAACCAAGGGCACTCCAGTAAAGCGTGACCTGAGAAGAATCCTCATGTGGTGGTTGTTCTTTCTTGCTGGTCGAGAAGTCCGCCTCACATTTCTAGTGATTGGTTTCGTGGATTTGGGAAGGAGGTTTAAACAACCAGAGAGTCCCTTCTTAGCTGTAATTTTAGGCTCGTCATTATGTGATCAACAATGAGGCTCCAAATATACACTATCATGACAGTGATCTAAAAAGGGTTTCTTTGCTAAAAAGAGGCAAATGCTTAAGAGATTATACATGTGTAGTCGATATTTACATGCCTTAGTTTCTACTCTGGGTGGGAGTTGCTTGACTGAGATTCTCACATGAGAACAAAAATAAAGGGAGGTCCAAAGGGGGTGGGCAGAGGTCAGCATAATGTGTGTGGTTTCCTGCCACAGTAAAGCATGCCATTGAAGAGAATCTGTCTTCTAAAGAGTCGCCTTTACTCAAGGAAGAAGGTAAAGTATCTCTTTCAGTGGTCCAAGAAATCTTTCTGAGAGGTTCATTTCTAGAAAATTCTTTTACCTGCTTACTAAATGTAATCAGCAAGTAGAAAAAAGATACAGAGAAAAACAGTAAGTGGACACACTGTACACAGGACAAGCAGTGCATAGTCAGATAGGTCAGTACTGGCTGCGTTGGGCAGCAGGGGTCTTCTGCTATCTGTATGCCAATATTCCTTCTTGTGGTACAAAAGAAGTACCTATGCCTATAGGCTTCTGAAAATAAAACCCCAACTGCAAAACATAGGCATGCAACAATGCCTATACACATAAATGACAAATAACAGATTGCATGGGACAAGCTGAGACTTTTGTGACCACTTATTATAGTGAAACTGAATATTGCTGAGTCCCCATGGCCCAGAGTCTTATCTAACTTGCACATGAGGTAAAGACGGCACTACGGAAAAGCCAGCTATCAGTCATCCAGACTTCCAGTTTGGGGATCTGTAGGGCCCACATCTTACAGATTTATAGGTAGGCCATTCTAGCATCCACCATAGTCTAAAACAGAGCCCTGAGAAGAAAGCAGAAAGATGCCCAAGAGTATCTCCGGCAGGAACGGTCTCTGCCATCCACACTTGTGGATACTGCTGTTGCTTCAGCATGCACGCCTTACCTGCTTGAGGAAGAGTGAGCAGAAGATTCAGGAGCCAGGGAGGATGGCAGAGACTTGGAAATCCATCCTATTTATAGGGTTTTTAATTATCCTACCAAGTCATCCTGGGAGACACCTATTCTGTGGTAGGGCCTGAATCATTCTGGGCTCAACCCAGATCAGCCCAGTTCAACCCAGCTCCAGCTTGACCTCTCCCTCTGCAAACCGTTCGGTTGATTTACTTCCCGCATTTGCTCACGAACCTGTTTGTCACTGTAGTAGGTGACACTTTTCAAGTCTCAGCCCCAATTAATTAAGGGAGTGTGTGTGCTACACGCTGTGTGGACTGGGAAGACAGAGGTTCCAGCCGAATCCATCCTTAGAAATCGTCACTTGCCAAGGCCGATAGGGGTAGGGGTACACAACAGGTATACCATACCAAAGAAAGACGTTTATATGTTCTACAAAATCCAAGCTAAGTAGAGATTAGGGACTCTATACATTGGTCAGCATATAATTCTTGGAAAATATGTCTTAAATTTGTATTTTGCTTGTAAAAGTAGCTATTCGTATGTCTTACTGACCTATTTTTAATGGCTATTCTTTTCTGCAGGCTAGTAGAAGTAGTTGTTGAATCAATTTTAGAGACATATTGGGTGGCAAGTGATGAGTGCTTCTTTTGTTGTTGTTGTTGTTTTGTATTTTGTTTAATTGGAGACAGGGTTTCTCTGTGTAACTATGGCTGTCCTGGAACTTACTCTGTGGACCAGGCTGGCCTCGAACTAGGCCTCTGCCTCCTGACTGCTGGGTGGGATTCAAGGTGTGCGTGACCAGTGCCCAGCATGACACTGAGTTTTTCAGTCTTAATAAAAGGTTAGAGTTAGGGTACCACCTGGAAGTTGATGATTTCTGTGACATAGAGATATTGTTTGTGACCCACGCCTCCACTTATTTTCCTTCTCCCTAACACCTGTGACACATCGGCACAGTATCTTCTCATAGAGAGCCTTAGTAAATCTTCAAGGATTAAGTGAATTGTTGGATTGTGAGACACATCAGAGAATCTTGTGCAAGGAACAAAGAGTTTGAGAGTCACCTGCTTGTCTGCTTTGTCTCAGAGGTGCCAGCTGATATAATTACATATGAAATATATAATCATATTGAAGAATTGATTATGTAATTGGTCTCCAGTCAGTTACTTGTGATGACACTTGCTATTATTTGCTATGTCTCTAAGATTTTGCAAAGGAATCGTAAAAGTTCAGAAAGATTTTAGTCTAACTGGACTAAAGAAGCCTCACACAGAAAAGATTTGGAAAGACCAGTGTGGAGCTTGCTAAGTGTACAATAATTAGAAAGTCTAGGCGGAATCCTCTGGGCCAGACCTGGGTTTCCTTCACCTCTAGGTTTATAAGCAAAGTTTATGTTGTTCTTTGAAACACTCAGGTAGGAAGAGAAGGGGAGAAAGCAAAGGCCAAAGCTGCATAGTTGAGAACTCCCACATGGCCTGAATTAGCATGGGTGCCCATGTCTGGGAAGGCAGAGAGTTATCACTGCCTTCCTAGCAGTAGAGGTAGAGAATGTGGGAGCTGAAAGGAAGCTTAGTCTTAGCTTCTTAACTTATAGATGAGGAAACTGCAGTTTCTAGTTGTCCTGAGTGACCTGCTAAAGGGCTCACAAAGCTGCAGAAGCCCGGCCTAATGTTCATGTTTATCTTCCCAGCAGAGGATGCTTTTCTCCTCCTCTACCTCCCCTCCCCTCTCTCACTTCTCTCCTCTCCTGCCCTCTCCTGCCCTCTCCTGCCCTCTCCTGCCCTCTCCTGCCCTCCCCTTCCCTCCCCTCCCCTCTCCTCTCTTCTCCCTTCTCTTTCCTTCATTTCTTTATTTCCATCTCTCTTTTCTGAGGTATGATCTACTGTGTTGACCCGGCTAACTTCAAACTCAGGACAATCATCCTGCCTCAACCACTCAGCTTTTAGGATTCCAGGTGTGTCACTACACCTGGCTAATATACACTGTTTTGCATTCTATAGAAGATGTCTAGGGCCCGATTTAAGGGTTTATTTTAATGATAAATGTTAATTGAGTGTGTTGTTGGTTTTTCTGCCAGCATTGTTTTGGGGGAGATTGTAAGTTCCTTGCAGTGTGTGACTAGTTGTCTCCATTAATCTGGAGCTGAGAAATTCCTGAGATTAGACACGAGTGCTAAAAGTAGAAGTGCCCAGGCAGCCTGTGGTACACAGATCACTGTCACTAGCGGTGAATGGATGGACCTGAAAGAGGAATGTCAGAACAGGGAGGCCAGATAGGAATCTATAATGTGGCTTTGGTGAGAAGCAAGTGTAGGAGGATGGCTGGATGGATGAAACGTGGAACAGATTTGGTGAGTGGAAAGGGAAGTGGGGATGCCAGGAATCATCCCACGGATTCAACCTAGGTGACTAAAAGGACCGTACTATAATGAAGGAATGTAACTTCTGAATGAGGCTGGTGGAAGCCAAGACCGAGAGCCTCCACTGGCATTCCCTAGGTCTCTGCCCTTTGAAGGCTGCTGTCCTGCCTTTACAGCTGATCTCGCCATATTGTCCTGACCCGATAACTGGATAGTGCTGAGACTCTTGCTTTTGCGTCTATGTTTAGTGTCATACATTTTATTTCTCTTCTCACTTATTAGGATGGAAGATCTCAAGGCAGTGGGCTAATCCTAGAGGTGAATAAGGGCATTGCGGATAGGAAGTGAAGAAAACAGACGTCGCCATAGAGAGAGCAATACTGTGGGAGGTTCCTGGGATGCGTGGCAGGTGGGGTTTTTCTGGGGCGAGGTGTGAAACAGAAAGTGCTCTTTGTCTGATGCTGCCGCAGAATTACTGCTCTCACAAGTAGGATCTTCAGTGCGTGAATTCACTTAACACTTAAGCTCTCTAGCGTGGTCAGAATCTCCCAGTCAGATATTCACTGGATACTCGTGAGCACATGGAAGGCTGTTTTGTAGGCACAGGGTGAAAACATAATTCCTGTTCTTTGTTTATTTGTGGGTAGCTGTGTCTCTCCGTGTGTGAACAGATATGATTACGAGACAGAGCTCAAAGTCAGTTGTCTTCCCAGATGACCCTACCTTTTTGTTGCTGTTGCTTGTTTGTGTTTGTTTTTTTTTTGTGTTTGTTTTTTGTATGTTTTTTTTTTTTTTTGATACAAGGTTTCTCTATAGCTTTGGAACCAGCCCTGGAACTCACTCTGTAGAACAGACTGGCCTCTAACTTACAGAGATCTGCCTGCCTCTGCTTCCTGAGTGCTGGAATTTAAAGGCATGTGCCACCACTGGCCGGCTCCCCCACCTTACTATTTTAAGACAAAGTCTCTCACTG